TCTGAGTGGTACATGAATCTATGCGTTTATCTGTCTCCAGACACCAATAATAGTTATTCACTACTTAAACATCTATAGCTGGCGTAACAAATTCAGTTGTATGGATCAAAAATTAAAAAAGCTCATGTATTCCAATAAAAATTCTTATTCTTTTTGAATCAATAGTGATTTATATGAATCATATCTAAATTCAGTTGGCAGAACATAACTGATTCTAACCAAAGGTTGAATTGGAAAAGCAAGAAAGACATTCACTATCTTAAAATTGATTTGCAAGACTGCTGCACTCAGAATAAAAAACAAGATTCGGATTTTCAGCAGTAGTGTTAAGTCACTCAGTGTTTCTTTACGGTTCAGAGACATGGCACAATCAGCACGGAAAGCATTCAGAACAGGAGTAAGACATTTAACAACAGCTGCTTTCACTGGCTCCCTACTGAAGACTCCATGAACAGGAAGGATAGGCGATAGAAGGCACTGGTGACGAATTAACCCAGAATCTCTTGTCCAGCAAATATGCAAAAGGAAATGGAGATGGATTGGATACACGCTGAGGAGGCTGTCAAGTTATGTCACATGGCGAATGGAACCTGAGTGGGAAATGGCATACTGGGCTTCGTCCGGAGGTGAAATGGTGGAGATGAAAGCTGAAGAAGATTGTAGAGAACAAGGTGAAATGCAGATGTGTTCCATTCGTAACCTAAGGGAATAATAATAATAGAATTTCAACCAATGAAAGCACTTTTCCGATGACGTTTGAATAAATTATTCTACACATAAATCATAGTAAATATTTTTATAACACTGGATTATTTCTATATTTTATTACACACTGATAATTTCTTGCAATTTAATTTCTTTTTAATCTAATCAATTGATGGCCTTATTACGCAATAAAGGAGCAAGAACCATGAACATAAGATATTTGAGACCTTGGGCTTGGTTTCTATCTATTCAGTACACAAACCAAAGAGTGTAAACGATTAATTTGTGTTTCATTATTGATTTTTTCCCACGATACACCTATTCATGAATCACTGTCAGTTTGGTTTACCTGTTGTTGTTTTTCATCCTTATATGTGTGATTCACCATAAAAACAAACATAATATATTTAAAAATCATACCCAGTATGCATTGCTACAAATAAACTGTTATTCAGCCACTTGATTGGAATCCAGTTTTCTGTTTTTCAAATTTTCCCAGTTTATCGGATGTCTTTATCAACATCCAGTGTCAGTGGAGGCTTGTGATTTAAAGTGGGACATAATACTTTGGAGTTTACGAGGACAATTTTATCTGCAGTAATATTTGTTAGTTAAATAAAAGTAATCAATGGAATGGAATCAATCAATGTACTAACATCACAAGTTTCGTTTATACAGCTGTAGAAATCGACCTCATTCTGTGAAAGGGAAGCTCAATAGCAAGTGAAGGTTAGGTTAAAGTGGTTATTTATGAGAACTCTATTGATTCCTGATTAAAGCGAAATGATGAAAATATGGGACAAAACTATTCTAGTTAATAGCACTGTTCACTAACCGGTATAAAGTTAACAGGTCGCCAGAAGGAAACTTATGATAATACAAGATATTAAACAGCAATCAGCAGAAACTTTGAAATTTAAATAGTAAGTTTGTTGGTATCAACAAATACTAATACAACAAGCAATAAAAGTTAATAAAGCAGGATTTAATGAATTCATCAAATTTCGGTAGAACTCGTCAACTGAATACTCTACATACACGGATATATACATACTTTTGAAATTACATTGCGAGATATAGGACTGATAAGTAAACAAACCACATTGAATTAGTCATGCAGAAAGACAGGTGCGAATGTTTTCCAGGCTATGTTCAAATAGATAAGGGGAGAGAGAGCATGAGAGATCAAAATTAAGACAAATTGCATTACGCTTCAATTACATCACTTTAGATAAACAATTAGACATTAGAGAATGTAACAAGAATTCCAACCAGAGAAATATCAACAGTAATAGTTATAATAACAATAATAATAATAGTGTTGAAGTGAGTTAAGACAATCCTACTGATAAAGGATAGTTTTAAATGAATCAAGAATAATAATAATAAGGTAGAATGATCAGTAAAACGTATTACCATGGTAGATTCAGAGTCACAACCATCTCCTTTTGTACACAGAGACCTGGTTTATAAACTCGAATTGCACAAGCCTCTGCAATTGCAAGCATCTTCTTGTTTTTTGTCTTCTGACAATAGTGAATGACTTGAAGGCGTCGATATCATGTCCGTAATCCACAAGATGTTTTGTTATTGGGGATTTTGTCACTTTGCACTCAGCTGTTTTCAACCATTTCGGTGAACGCTCCATCATATTAGTAGACAATCGCCTTTCCGTACGACCTATGTATTTGATTCCACAAACACACTCATCAAGAGAACTTATTATGCTGCAAAACTTGTTATCCTTAACACCACTAAGCGAGTGCTTCAACAATCTGGGAAAGACCAGTCGCCAATCCTTGACACTTCAAACTGAGTGTTTGTGGAAGCAAATACATAAGTCGTACAGAAAGGCGATTGTCTACTAATATGATGGAGCGTTCACCGAAATGGTTGAAAACAGCTGAGTGCAAAGTGACAAAATCCCCAATAACAAAACATCTTGTGGACTACGGACATGATATTGACGCGGTCAAGTCATTCACTATAGTCAGCAGACAAAGAAACAAGAAGATGCTTGCAATTGCAGAGGCTTGTGCAATTCGAGTTTATAAACCAGGTCTCTGTGTACAAAAGGAGATGGTTGTGACTCTGAATCTACCATGGTAATACGTTTTACTGATCATTCTACCTTATTATTATTATTCTTGATTCATTTAAAACTATCCTTTATCAGTAGGATTGTCTTAACTCACTTCAACACTATTATTATTATTGTTATTATAACTATTACTGTTGATATTTCTCTGGTTGGAATTCTTGTTACATTCTCTAATGTCTAATTGTTTATCTAAAGTGATGTAATTGAAGCGTAATGCAATTTGTCTTAATTTTGATCTCTCATGCTCTCTCTCCCCTTATCTATTTGAACATAGCCTGGAAAACATTCGCACCTGTCTTTCTGCATGACTAATTCAATGTGGTTTGTTTACTTATCAGTCCTATATCTCGCAATGTAATTTCAAAAGTATGTATATATCCGTGTATGTAGAGTATTCAGTTGACGAGTTCTACCGAAATTTGATGAATTCATTAAATCCTGCTTTATTAACTTTTATTGCTTGTTTTAAATTCGTATCGGGAAATAAATGTTTTCAAATACGAATGAAATTTTAACTTTCATTATCAGGCTTTATATAGTGGGTGAGGTTTGCACTATAGCAGGAAATATAATGTGCATCTGGTACATACTACCTACGGAATTGTGTTTAAGTAGTTTGTTTTGTGAGACTTTTAGCAGAAGTCACGTGAAAAAAGCCTCACTGGTGAAAATCATGGTAGGAAGAAGATTTCTTGATAGAAATGATATTTATTAAATGAATGAAATATTATAGCAATATGAAGTGTAATTCACTCGGTCAGTAAGAATTCATCTATATCTACTACGTTCTTTCCGTAAAACGGATATGTACTGACTTATAAATTCTGAGACATCTATGTGGTTAATTTTGTAGTTATTTACTGAAATCTACTTTGAATTTGTTGTGTTCTCTGAGCTGGTTGATTTAACTGTGAAGCTTTCCTCGTCCTACTAGACAACATCTTCAGGGCATCTTCATCTTCAGAAAGAAGGGATATCCTCACAATTTCATCAAAAAGTGTTTAAAATCGAATTATAACACCAACAACAAGCCATCATCAAAGACCACAGGAAAATTCACCCTACCATATATATAAAATATCTCTGAAATAACAGCTAGAATATTAAGACCGTTTGCAATAGATGTAGCACACAAACCAGTTCAAACACTTGATTCGATATTGTGCAAGCCAAAATATCCAACAGAAAAAGAAGATAAAATTAACACCATTAATAAAATAAATTTTATGAACTGTAACAGACATTACGTTGGTCAAAGTGGGCGTCCCCTTTGTGTCCGGATCCAAGAAGATAAATCAGCTGTGAAAAGGCACGATGTGTTTTCTTTCATATCGATGCATCTAAATAATTACGGACATCAATGTGATTGGGATAATGTCGACATTTTAAATAGAGGATGCACTAAAAACGTTAGGAGATTTCTAGAAGCCTGGTACTCAGATGAATTAGTGATTAACAAACGCATTATTATAGACCAAATCTCTTAGCTGATAATAAGTAAATCATATGACAAGAAAGTTCAAATTCCAAGTCACTAAAAATGAGAAATAGAGACGCAAATTAAAAACCAGTGACGACATTGGTCACCAGAAGATACAATTACATCAGTCATGGAGAATACAAATAACTTCATTTTATACTAATACATGCGCTGAAGATGTTGTTTATAAGGCTAACGAAGGTTTCCTTCGCAACTTAATCAACCGCCTGAGTTACAAATCTTCTCCATTGAAACCTGTTATACTCATCAGGAGTCTTTACTGTTCACTTTACATTATTTCAGACTTGTGCGTACATAAATTGAACAATAGTTTGGAAGTTTGGTTACGGTTTGATATCAGTTGGAGAACCACTGAATACCATGGAGTACTACACGTTTGTTTCGTCCCAATCGAAGACTCTTCCTCAGATACACCCATGGCCACAAAGGGATCAAACCTAGGGCGTTCAGGGTATGATGTCAACCTCATTGACTTTTCAGCCACATCAACCAAGATTTAATAGTCCATGAATTTTAACTTCTGTCACTTCATGATTTTAGCATGACCGTGTGTGCATAGTGTCGAAGAGTCCCAAACTAGGCCGAAACAGCTGTCCAGTACTCCCTGGTTTTCAGTGGTTCTCTAAGTGATATCAAACTTGAAACAAATCAAATTCTTACAAATTAACTCTTGTAAATAAAAGCTTAGCTTACCAATTAAACATTATTGTTATTGTTCATTAATACATCCACTATCGCTTTAGGTTATTACTTCTCATAAATATATCCATCAGAATCGTTCGTATATTAATAATTAAGATATTATTTAAATTATATGTATCAACAGTATAATATCACTGGTGATTTCTAAAGCATTCGATATTGAAGTTTGTTATTATTATTATTATCGTTATTATTGAAAATGGTTTTCTTCTTTCTACAATTATGAGACATCATTTTAAACAAATGTAGACATAATACACATACAGCATTTATATTGTCTCAAATAAATGTAGAAATTTGTGAAGTTATAAAAAGAATGAAGAAAAAAAGAAAATGGATAACAATGAACAATGCAAAGGAAAATTCAATGTTCAGTCTGAAAAATTCAATATTTCAATCCTTATGTTCCCTTCACTGTATGTAGTTGATATAATACCTAAGAATAACAATATTAATCATAATACCACTACTACTAATAATAATAATGATAATAATAGTAGCAGTAGCAATACAGAATTATACACATATGTATGATAGAAAGTGTTGTTGAAAGATGATTTGGGAAACAGAATACACAACTAGTGTAGTAAGACAATAATGAATGACCAGTTTATTGGTTGTGAACTTTATACTACTTAGAATGAGATTTATGCATTTGTGTATATGTGTAACATGTACATTGGATTGAATTTGAACACTATACACATGTATATATGTAATATACCATGCATATCTGTTGTCTGTATTTTGTAAAAAAAAAACGAAATCTCTCTCTCTAGTAGTAAACGATGTATCCATTCGCATTTTGTTCATGTGCATGTATGCATGGCTTTTTTTTTGATGGAAGCAACAAAAAACAAACAACAAAAACATAACAGGGTGTATAAAGGCAAAATGAAAATGTCAGAATGAAAGATGTGCAGTAGTAAGTAAGAATTGAAAGAAAAGAGAAGGAGAGATAGAGAGATGGAGAGTAAAATGAAGGAACCTATCACTATTACTGCATATAATTCTCTCCTTTAGTATTTACACAAATACAACACATATGTTACCGATTTACAGGTGTGTTGAGTGATAGTTTTTTTCCCCTTCCCCTTCTTCTTCTTTTATTTCTTTTCAAACAAAGAGAACAGTATTACTGACTAGTTTAAGAAAATTATTATGAATTTTCAACCATCTTACAAAATAAAAAAATTAAAAAAAAACACGAATTATATTTAAGATCTAAGTATTTAAACATCTGTAGTTTATGTGTCCAAGTTTTAAAACACCAAAATGTGAATGAACTTAGTAATTAAGAAAATAAAATTAAAAAAAGAAAACTCAATCAATTTTTGTTTCTGAAATCAATTTTACTACGTGGTTTAAAGTTGGTTTCAATGTGAATTTCATCATGAACCAATATCACTTCAATAGATCAGTTATTTCGTCCCAGGTTGACACTCTTCATCAGTTCATACCCACAACACCATCAAAGATCAAACCTGAGACATTCAGGTTACTAGACTAAGCTCGTTGGTCATTTAGCTACTTGGGCTGAAATACAACCGCCCGTGAATCTCAACTTTGGTAATTCGTGATATAGAGCTAACTTCACCAATGCTTTTGATGACATGATGAACCCCATTCATCACGACTTCTAGTTCACTATCAGGATACCCATCCAAAGCTGGAGACTGACTGATACTTGCATTTGAATTAATCCAGATTCCTACAAAACCCATCATCTAGATATTTAAGTTGGCTGCTGGATTTCATTTCTGTTTTAATGTCGCTCACTCTGGTCGATTTTGGAAAAGGAATGTATCGTATAGCATTCAGCCACCGGGACCCAATTCAATGACCAGCCCATGAATTCTAACTTCCACCAATTCGTGATTTAGCACGACCACCAACCAGTGGTGGGAAATCCATCCCCAAACTTGACCTGATGGACTTCACTGGTCACGACTTCTCACTAGAACTCCAGGAAACTCCGTCCTGTAGCAAGTAACCCGAAGGTCCTGGGCTGGAACCCTGGTGGTGGGTGCGTACTGCCGATGATTTCCAAACTATGAGTTCAACTTGTAACCTAAAGTTTCTAGTTTGGAGTCATGGTTGGGTGCTACTCAAGGGTCCTAAAGAAGAACAAAACTGTTGTCCAGTAATCCTTGGTTTTCAATAGTTTCCTAATAGAAGTCAGTTCGTGTGTTCATTACCTCATTCCATATGATTTTGTCCTGGAAATCTTACTTATCAAACTATTCAATATGTGTTAAGAGCTGAATTTTTCGTGATATTTCGCATATATTCCCTAATTGATTGAAATACTTAACAAAAATAAATATTTCCCTTTATCTGTCGTCATCATCGTTGTAAAATTATAAATGATCTCATCAAAATTTTGTTTAAACTGCTAACGTAAATCATTGAATGTTTTAGTGAATTTACCAGATGAGCCTGCTGAGATGATTAACCTGGATAAATCAGCATTTTACCAAGTCCACTTAAAGTTAAGCTATTATGTATATTTCTTACATGCTAACATAGATACATGTGCTACAATATAAAGTTATACGTCAGGGGGAAAATGACTGAAATTCAATGGATGACGTGTTTAATTAATTATCTAAAGATTTAATTATTCTAAAAACATGTAGTGAAGCTTTTGGAATGATAGGCTAGTTCAAATGGGTCATGTGGAGGGCTTTTCACCACCTGACATCTTTTAACAGCAGCTCTTATTGATATTATATATATATATATAAACTTTAATATTGTTAAATAGTATTTACAACTTCAGTTAAGTTGTGGTAGAATGCAGCTTTTAAATGAAGAGATTGTTACCAAGGGTGAAAACTATGGCATATCAACGAAGGTAGTAATAAAAGCACCTGTCAGTTTAGATTAATACTCTTATTAAGGTGATGACTTAGTGCTGTAAGGTTTATATTTGATTGTTTACGTATTAGTTGTATTTTTGCTTTGCAACAATCCTGATAAATTTTAATGAATGGAAACACGTTTGTCTACACAAATATTCCGTTTTCCCACCATTATTAAAAGTGAATGATTATTTCTGGTTTGTTTCTTTGAGTACACAGATATCAGTAGTTATTTTATTTTAACGACCAGTCGTTTCACTCGCAAAATATTGGCATATGATGAATACGTAAAAATACAATATTCAAATTATATAAAGCTCATAGATTTTTGCCTCATAACATATTTTTGCCCCAGATATCCAAGATATAAACAGATGAAAGACAGCTATAAGACCGGCCAAATCAAAGCTAATTGCTGAAGCTGTTAAGAAACGACTGTCAACCGTGGTTCGACTCATAATCAGACCAAAGTTTGGTTACATTACATAGACGACACATTCGTCATGGCGGGAAGAAATGATTCAGGAAGTACTCCACAGCATTTTTGACGATAAGTGAAGCGAAAGCAGGCAACAACATTCTATTCTTAGATATCGGTTTGGAAAGAAAACACAGGTGGGTGAGTACTGATGAAGAGTACCAAACTAGGACGAAATAGCTGTCCAGTACTCCCAGATTTTTCAATGGTTCTCTAACTAATGTCAGCTCATGATGAATTCCTGTAACCAAAACACAGGAAGTCTAGAAACAAGAGTATAGAGAAAGTCAACACACACAAACCAAATACTCAGTTTCAGCAGCAACAATCCAACAACGCATAAAGGAGGTTGCACTTAAATATTCCGAAACAACAAAACATAATACTATCGTGATGGTCTTCCATAAAACCCAAAACTTTAAAAGATACAGAAAACAGCTTTGTATGTTAAGACGAAGAGCCCTGCCCTATCCAACCTTCTAGTTTACGTGATTATAGCATAATATGAAATGTTTTCTATTTCTATGTCCATTTCGGTGATTCGTTCAATCAATAATTTACCATATCCTACTATAATTTCTCACCTTAAACTGTTTGCTACTATTATTCTTTTTCATTATAGTTTATCTAAAACTCATGATTCCTAGAATACTTGCATTTCGTTTACTTGTTACTGTGTTTGAAACGGAAAATCACTGGGCATTTTTCTGGAAGTAAGTATATACTCTTCATTGTAGAACTCTCATATGGAAAAACTCTAAAATTTTCTTGTATCTAGATCAGCTTTTTGTGCAAAGTTAAGAAATATATTTGAGAGTGTCGCTGACTGACTGATTGACTCACACAGAAGTGCACCAGTTCAAGTTGCCACACTCCATGTAGCACACAAAAGTAGACAAAAAGGGAGAAAATAATCAGCAAAAATGTGTGGGAGGAAGAATGTTAACAGAGAAAAATATAACGATTTAGTGGATATAGTGTAAACAGAAAGTGATTACACCTACGGCAATGAGAACAAATTTGAGCCATATCACTAACAGTCTTCGGTCATTGGTTCTTGTATCCTAATAGCCTCACAAAGATAGTCTACACCTCGTATATGGCTGACATCAACTGTCAAAGACTTCATGGACTGATGGCAGATTTTGAGTTGACCATCCATAACTCCATTCCAATCTAATCTCATGCAATCAAACAAAATCCTACAAACAATATTAAATTAATCCTACATTAGCTAACATTGATGGACTAGGAAGGTGATGGCTTAGCATGAGAAACACGTGTCCTAGCCATGTCATTTGATTCATCTTCACCATGTTGTCGATTGAATTACCTTCTTTATCTGACTCTTCAAGCCTAACCTCAAAATTTCTCCCTATATTATAACACCGACATACTATCAAAAATAGATAATAAGTTTTCAGTAACTTCGCGCCTATTTGTTATTGACACTAATACTCAACGGTTCAGAGCACGCCCGTTAGCTGATTAGTTATTTGGTTTGTTAATTAGCCTGTATAAAAGAAACTGTAATCGAGAATATATCTTACAAATACTCATCAATGTAACTTTATCTTTGAAACCTTCTGATATACAGTTAGAGATCAATCTTGATAGTTCTATCCAAAAAAAGCGTTTTACTTCATACTGCTATCAGTATAGGTATCAGTTTTCCAAGCTTATTAATGGTTAGTTCCATTGTTCCGTTTATTTAATATGTTCAAAAAAGTAATGTCAAAAGTGTACATTTTGAATGAGTAGAAGAAATGCAGATTTCTTTTTTGAAATTATTGGATGTATAGGATTCCATTCGTTTCAAAATGGATCACATTACGAAATGACATAAGAAACACCGAAAAGTTAAAAGCCCTAGATTAATGATTATTCCAGTTTCAGATTTTTCAGCCCTTTATCCCCATGAATCGTCAGGAGGTCAAGCAATCAAGTTACTATCCAACAAACAATCAGAATATGACAGTAAACTGATACATAAAGATTACATTATTCACACCTAAGGGTGCCTAACTTACAACATCTAATGAATCATTGTGAACAGGCCAAAGCTAGATAATAATGGTCTTATTTTACTCAGATTACTGGTTGAGTGTTAAAATAGCCACCAATTAACTTCACGAGTGTGTACCCTAATCCACGTAAATTACTGTGCGTCGGTGGCACAGTGGTTAGGACTCTCGCCGACCATGCACATGGTCCGGGGCTCGATCCCCTGCCGGCCCACACTCGATATCTATGGTCGGCCTGTAAATTTGGGCTACCGATATCCATGCTGAAAATTCCACACTTGTACTGAAAATACGGTGTGGAATCAAGCTG